AATATATGTCTTTAATCTTTAAAGAGGCAGAATTCACCAGATCAAAACTTCATTTAATAGGCAAGATCACAAACTAATTTTCTGCAAAATGCTTCTCTTAGAAAAAAACAGTATACCTACTGCTGGAATACTCTGTTCTTCATCACAAAATCTTACCTTTAATTGGCTTCATGGGGAGATGCTTATTTTACAACATTTATATGATCCACATTTTACATGGGTAAAGATTTCCCAGAAATAGTTATATAATTATGTATTATTCCTTAATGCCATAAGCAGGCACTGCTATAAAACATAAAGGTTATCTTATTTATTTTCTACCTTTAAAACCATTGAGGACTTGATACAAATATTTAAGATTACTTCTTGTGAAAATGACTTCCATTATTTCATTTCCAAACATATAATCAAAATTTTAAAAAGATAATTATCTTACTCTCTATGACTGAGAAGATCTGATTTTCATTTGGAAAACGAGTGTAACAAAACTTGCTAAGAACATCATGATTCAGAGTACACTAATGCTAGTATCCAGGTTGCCTCTGGCCATCGGTGAAGTTTTGAACTTCTCGGAAAAAAAATTAAATGCTGTATCAAAACCCCCTATTGATAAAAATTGTGGAGCAGAAGGGAATATTTAGGTTTCTCTCTTGGTCGCCCAAGGTATGCTGGAGACCATAAAAGAGGACCTGTAGCTTTAGGGGAATCATCAGAGCATTGGGAAGAATTCCATATGCATATCAGAGCCCTTCAGCTTTGCTATTTGACCACTCACTGGCTAGCTGCTGAGCTAGAAGGTAAGAAACTGGTAAATGTCAAAGAATACATTGTCTTCATCCTATAAAACAACTCAAATAATAAAATAAGTAAGGCATTTTAAATAATGATTTCAATAATATCAATTATGTGTGTGTGTGCATGTATTCTGTTACTCAGGGAAATAACAGCAGAGAGATTCAGTCTTGCAGTGACATTTGAGAGAGAATTGGAGTGCATTATCAGAGATGACTGATGCAAAAATATGATTTCACCTAAAAGATTAGTGGATTGTCCTTTTTACCGCTTGATAGATAGGACCTTTTTCACAGTACTGTTGCTGGAAGATGCACAAGTTTTCCTGCCCTTGGCTATCTTTTCCTTGTGTACTTCCAAGCTTCTTTGCATAATCTGGATTACAAAATTGTGTTGTCTGGCTAGACCTTTCATGGAAATAGAGGCAGAAGCAGGTAAATCATCCAGTTGTTTCCTACTGTGCTACAACATGAATATGTAGTATATGAAATGAAATAACTTACTAAACTCTGGTTATCTGGAAGCATGACAATGATCTGTGCGTTGTGATCCCAGATCATTCTCCAGAAGTCTTTAGTTGTATGTGGCAAGGGATGCTGTGTTATAATGAACTCATTGCTCCGATAGTAGCCCTTTTAAAGAAACAAACAAATGAAGCAGCTTTTCATGAACAGAATAGTTTGGAAAGATTAAACTTCATGGGTGAAGACAAAGCTAATTAGGTTGCTAAATTTTAAAGACATCTTCTTGGTTAATTTACCGAATAACAATACTGAAGAACATTATATATTATTATCATAGTTGTGTTTTTTGTTTCATTTTGTAAAGGTTTTGTTATATTGTTTTCATATGGATTGGTCTTAGCCACCTGGAGCGAGTGAGCTATCTATCTATCTATCTATCTATCTATCTATCTATCTATCTATCTATCTATCTATCTATCTATCTATCTATCT